TGAATTCTATGAGAAACCATCAATCTTGCAACAGATAGCGTAACATTTAGATGTAGTCATAATGGTAGGTAACTTTAACGCTTAAGTAGGGAAGCTGAGTTAGTCGGAGAGGCATCTGGGAGGTATTTACGGAATTCCATGCCAAAGAACCGACAACGGTGATCGTCTCTTGTAATTTTGTCCCGCCAATCACTTGTTTCTGACCAGCACTAACTTTAAGCATAAGGAGAGACATTGTTTTACATACTGTCCGCCGTCTTCAAACCAACGATGGACACAGAAAGATCACATTGCAACAAGCCACCGTTGGAGAGGATCGGTAAAGGACTGTCACTCTTTCTGAAAATCCTGTTTTGACTCGAACGATGCGCTGGTATGGGTTAGTGTGCGTCTGAGGACTTACTGGTCGCAGGAAACAAGAAACAGTGAGGCCTATTCGTCCTCGATTGGTAGATGGGGACACCAAGTACGCACTTCAAGGTGAGTTAGCTAAGCATTCATCCAAAGGTGCTAGCAATGTTCACCTTGAGAAAACCTGTCGTGATATTAAGTCTGGTGTAGAGACAGTGGCAAACACAATTGGTAACATACACCCGAAGGTCAACAAACGTCAATAAATCTCCGCGGTGGCGACCGAATTGATTGGTGCTAGAAAACTGATCCCAGCTCGCTGGCTTTGACCACTATGAAGAGCGAAAGGAACTGAAACATAAGCTGACCAAGAGTCTTCGTGTCGATCGCGAGCAGCGGTTGGTGACGAAAGCGAGATGGAGAAGTTAACAGTGGTAACTATTTAGGTTTATTAAGGATACCTGGAAGAAAAAGACGATGGTGAGTAAATCCATCAAGGAAAAGGATGGGACGCTGATAACCTCCTGAGTCAGGTGGCTAGAACGCTGGGTTGAGCAATTTGCAGCACAGTTCAGCTGGCCCTCAACAACGCTTCAGTGGCCCAACATCCAGTTTTGACTCGAAAGTGACGTGAATGTCAGCCTACTAACTCTCTTTAAAGCTGAGAAAGCGGTATCGAGCCTGAAAAGATTCAAAGCAACAAGACCTGACAGTTTGCCACATGAAGTTCTCAAGATGTTTTAGATCGTGTGCAAGAATCAAAGGTAGTCCCAACAATCTGGCCTGGTTCTCTGGACATCCCAAGTCTTTCTATGACAACTATAGGGGAATTAGTTTGACTAAAACCGAGTCCAAGATCCTGGGGTCCATACTTGTCCGATCCCAAACTGGAGCTCGAGAATATAAAACTTGAGGAAACCAGACAGGTTTCAGACAGCTGGTCGGGGGTACATCGATCATATTCTCACCCTGAGACAGGTTTTGGAACACAATCATATGTACCGGCAGGTCGACACCCGCCATATTTGTCGACCTGAAGGCGGTATTCGACTCTGTCAACCGTGAGGTGTTGTGACAGTGTCTGACTGTGAAGAGAGTGCCAAGCAAGTATATATAGCACTAATCAAAGCTACCTACTTGAACTTACCCAATCGAGTCACAGCTATGGAGAGTAGTCATGTTAATTGACGACAAATAGTGATGTTCGCCAGGGATGTTCAATGTCAGCGTTTTGATTCGTCACAGATATAACCTTAGGTATGTCTGACTTCACAGGAATCGGTCTACTCGCTGGAGGTGATGTGGTTGACTTAGAGTATGCAGACGATACTGTTCTGCTAGGTAGACGGTGCAGGATCTCCTAAACATGATAACCAGAAATCTGAGTACGTTTGGCTTGCGTATCACACCTGTAACATGTAAGATGATGCTACAGGACTGGTCTGCAACGAATACTCCTAGTTTAATGACAGGGAGTGTAGAGGTGCAATGTGTGGACCACTTAACATACTTGGGTAGTTGCATCAACCTGGACGATCTCGTTGTCGACGAAATCTCACCTAAGATACAGTAAGTATCAATGGAGTCATACTGAAACATGATATCATTTTATGAAATCCTTGACTGTTGGTCTGAGCCATGTAGGAGAATGTAGACTTCCGGTTGGGACTCACGTCACAGCAAAAAAGCTAGTGGTTAGAGGCCCTAGGTGACATAGCCTATCGTTGATCTCAGTGGCTCAGATGTATTCACATATTATCATCTTAATTGCTATACTGAACTCAGTATTTTTTCACTCCTCCTTTTTTCATTTTACTAATTTCTGCCGCTTTTGACTGCTTTCTTCATTATTTCTTTATTTACCATCTTAGTGCATTCTCGCTTGATGTGCTGATATGAGGTGTGGCAAATTGGCCCATCATGCAGTGATGACTGGTCTGACGTTGATTTAATCAGTCTACGAGCATTACTCAGTAAAAAGAAGCAGCTGATAGTACAATTAAGGTGCAAAAACTAAACGGTCTGGTCTTACGAAATGTGAGAAATACATATACTCTCATGTTATGAAGGTTGTGCTTGAATTTTGCAAGCATTCCAATTAACGTGAGATTCGTGAAATGTGTCGTTTGATAATGCGGGTACACCGATTGTCAGGTAACTAACAATGAGGTACTTTCGATTCAGCTCTTCCCAGCCCAAGTAACTGTAGTAAACGTTTTCTTGATCAAACAATTCTTTAACCCTATTACCGTTGTTCAAAAGTGGGTTAAAATTCTTGCATTGACATATCTTTCCATAAACCATACGAATGAGATTGAAAAATAAAGTATTTAAACAGATAACGGCTAGTAGGGATTAAAAGTCAATAAAAACCAGTATGGAGTATTTTTGGTGGAGAAACACAATCCAAACTTCGACAAAAATAAAAATTTCAACAAATATAGTTCATCAGCCAATAAATGCACCTGTATCCGACTATCAATCAAAGGACGAGTATACTGCACTGCAATTCGTCCTATCCTCTTATACGACTGTGAGATGTAACAATTAAAAATAGAAGACATCAAGCGACTCCAGGGTTTTAACCGTGGACGTCTTCGTAGCATTGCTCACGTTTGGTATAATCACCATGTGAACAATGTTGAGGTCAGGCTAAGGGTACTAGGTAAGGTAGGCAAGCTGATTGATAAGGTTGTAAACCATTATCGGTTGAGGTGGCTTGGACATGTACCGTACATGCCGAGCCACTGCCTACCCCGAAGTATCATGCTAGGGGAAGTTGCAAGAGGGTTTAGGGTTCCCTAACCAAGACTTGTCAGCAGTCGATGAAGTCTCTTACTGTTGGTGTGAGCCGTGTGGGGGAGATGTAGACTATCTGGCTGCCCCGACAGTATATGAATCAGTGGTTGAGAACTCTTGGTGACATGACTGAAAATCGGTCACAGTGGCGCAGATGTACTAACTCCATGACATCTTTTAAAGCTTGAGTATTCTCACTGACCTATATCTTCAAGTTTATTGTCTCATACAACTTTGTCTACTTTCTTACCAATCTTTTTCTGTCCACTTATTCTTTGTACGCTACTGTGAGGTTTAGCAGCTTGAACAGACAGATTTTCCTCTGAGGTTCTACGTTAATTTTGTCTGTCAGTCAGTCAGTCACAGTTATATGCAACGAAAAAGTGGATCGAAAAAGATTGGTAAGAAAGTAGACAAAGTTGTATGAGACAATAAACTTGAAGATATAGGTCAGTGAGAATACTCAAGCTTTAAAAGATGTCATGGAGTTAGTACATCTGCGCCACTGTGACCGATTTTCAGTCATGTCACCAAGAGTTCTCAACCACTGATTCATATACTGTCGGGGCAGCCAGATAGTCTACATCTCCCCCCACACGGCTCACACCAACAGTAAGAGACTTCATCGACTGCTGACAAGTCTTGGTTAGGGAACCCTAAACCCTCTTGCAACTTCCCCTAGCATGATACTTCGGGGTAGGCAGTGGCTCGGCATGTACGGTACATGTCCAAGCCACCTCAACCGATAATGGTTTACAACCTTATCAATCAGCTTGCCTACCTTACCTAGTACCCTTAGCCTGACCTCAACATTGTTCACATGGTGATTATACCAAACGTGAGCAATGCTACGAAGACGTCCACGGTTAAAACCCTGGAGTCGCTTGATGTCTTCTATTTTTAATTGTTACATCTCACAGTCGTATAAGAGGATAGGACGAATTGCAGTGCAGTATACTCGTCCTTTGATTGATAGTCGGATATTTTGCCAGTGACACAGATGACGGTATACTACTACTGTGACGTGTGGCAACTTGAACGGATGTATTAGTGTGCGAGGTTCTACGCTGATTCCATTTATCTATCTTTCCTGTACTTGGTAATTGTTTACCCGGAGAATAACATTTATTCCCTATTATGTAACTACATTACTTATTAGTACCTGGTTTATTTTGACTGCTTTTATTTTTACACATTGGTTATAGGTGTTTGTTCCGTATGATTTCACTTTAACATTCAGTCATATCGGAGGTGATTTTAGTGATTTACTAACTGTTGTTTACATGTCGGTTGATTTTACATCTCCTCGAATGTGTCTAACTTACGCTAATTATTAATGAATATAGAGTCACTTACAGCTGATACAGGGGAATAGGGAGATGTGGTTCATTGGCTTCAGAAATCAACCTGCGAGAAACGTATACCAGGTTCAAATTCAGCTCCGTTTACCATGACCATGGCAACCCAGTAGCATCATAAGCCTTCACATAATGTCTAACTCTGTCTATTACATAAAACTATAGACTACTCTAAGTACCATTATTGTTATTTTTAGTATCATGACGAAATAAAATTGTGAATTTAAATGATATAAATTGCAGGACTGCAGGTGGATCTGGCCCATCAAAATATTTTACTTATTTACACTAAACTGCTGCACATTTTAATGGCATTCACTAGTCTACTGCATTACACAGTAACTAATGTGTAGAAAACGTAGATGAATGAATAAGTATTATTTCGTAATTATATAAGGTGAATGAATAATGAGTTTGCTTCCTGTAGCTACGTTGAAAAGACAGGAAAAAAACTTGCCTAGAACAGAAATATTTTCAATTCAAAGAACCTACGTTTGAACTTCAGAAAATAGCTGCATCAAACGGACACCCAAACCGAACAGACCACCAGTTTCTGCAAAAATAATAACCAAAAGCACAAACCGTATGCATCCATATTATGAATGTTTACATAGACAAATAGCGACAAGTAATGGACAGACAGGATATATTATGCTATTTTACACCAAGTATGCATAATAATCGATGAATTTAACTCCAGCAGACTAGTAGAAAGTTACTACGTCAACAGAAACGTACATTTTGACATTTAACAAGCTAGTATTCATCACTTTCAGCACTAAACCCAACATGCGTAATAGAAAAAACAAGTCATGTTCTCAACGAAATGCTATGGATTGGCTGAAGACAAACATGTTCGAGGACAGGAAAGCTTGTTGTAATCAGTAACTTATCCACATAAAAAGTATGGGTAACCCTATCAACTTTTTGAAATTAGAAAAAAATGCATAAGTTATTTCCCAGGATCATCAGTAGTTTCAACATACACTCAAATGCGTTAATCTTCAGTACTCAAGTTTCTATTTACTATACACCTTTCAAAACAAAAAAACTGACTACTAAATATAAACAAATTAGCTGCACAATGTGTAACAACTGGATTGCAAATAACGCGTTACACCAGGGTAGCTTGACTGAAGCTGAATCATATATGTCTATACTTCTCCAAGTGATAATAAAAGAATGAATACGTTTGCATCCTGTCCTTTCAGAGTGACATACTTCAGAATTCCATATGCTTTTAGAAGGACCAAGAAACTTATGTGTTAACTATGGGTTCTTTTGGCAAACTTTCGTGAAATGCACTCACTGTTTCTACAAGATGCATTTAGTGCTCCGAAGTCAATGGCGATAAGTGAAAACTTTGTCACGCATACAGAACCATGGCCAATCAATTACCTGAATAAATGCAACCATATGAAAAGTAAAATCTGTCACACTTCCTGAGGTATAAAAATCAGAAAGCTTACAAACCATTTAGAACAGAGATTGAGCAAATGCTTCATAAAGCCTAAGTATTATATACGTTAAAATTAGCCAATAATACGTGATCTATGTACACATAGTTAGGCAAACAAAAAAGACGAAAGCTAACAGGACAGTTAGCACCTACAATGCTTTTGAGATCTCCGACACAATTTGTGCAATCGTATTTCAGATTATAACGGCATGTAGACTACTTCAATGTACTACAAGGGTTGGCAAATGTAGGATAATTTTAGGAGCAAATGTATAGATACACTTGGAAAAACACCGAAAAACCATACATAAATCTAGTAACTTCTAGCAACCATTGACGTAATGAGTACTGTGTTTTAGAAATACAACGCATTAAGCAGATATTTTCAGGAAATTATCTAGGGATTTCTAAAAGAAATCAAACGTCAGTGAAATCACAAAAGCCAGTATATACAACTGAGACATATCCACTAAGTTGACCATTTTCCATCTTTAGGCAATAATTTCTAAAGTGGTGGAACACTAGATAATTTTCGTGTGTGTGTGTGTGTGACAGGCAAAAACAAAACAAACGCCAAAGAGATGCTGGAATTCGAATAACTCGATAAATTCCACAAACAGATGTGACATTTATTTTGTGAAACTTACTACACAGAACCATAGCTTCATAATCTGATTCTGAAGGACATTTAAAAGAAGAACGCCAGAATATGTCCATACCTTGCCCGCGATGTAATTCAAGCATTTGTTCTAAAAATCAATGTTGAACATCACCGTTTTTCACAGAAGAAATCGAATTTAATGGAAGTAAAGACTGATGTAAAAACATTATAATAGACAGATGATTTGAGAGAAAAATACTGGCGTGAACTTATTGGTTTGATCACTAAGAGAAAACAAGAACTGATTCATTATTCAGCAAAAAATTATATATATATATATATATATATATATATATATATATATATATATATATATATATATATATATATAATTTTGGATGCGTACGAGTAACTACTCAAAAAACAACACTGCTGATAGTTCCAACATATTTAGCAAAATATAGTTGACGCATAGCGAGAACACAGAAGACGAGTACAAACAAATTTACTCACTCTTAAAAGATAGAATGATGAGTTAAAATAGATATTCACAAACCAGGTATCGTGAAGCCTTGCTACTCACTGGTTATTAAGATGATTTCTGTGCAAACCCTTTAGTTATCACCACTCATTGGAGTAGAGGACAGACGATCTTGAAAGCGATTCTTATGTCTGACGTTCTTTCTAACATACACGGGCCTCAGGTTTAAATATCGTTTTGGTGATTTCATACAGAATAGCCATGTGTACTGTAATTCTCTCTCCTTCTAATGGTAATGAAGATGAATATAACACTGGCATTCATCATAAAAACTTACAGGCGATGGCAGAAATAACTACGAATGTTTTCAACGCTCGAGGAATAAAAAAGAATTGTTTAGCAAAATCAAAACGGTGATTAGGATAACAAAAAAGTAGAGCTTAGAAAAGATAAGATAATGCATGCACTGAACAGATTAAATTATTTGATACTTGATAAGCTAAATCACCTATCTATTTCATATTAGTTCTTTTTAGACAAAATTACCATATAGTGTACTATTTTTGTGAATGGCATTGTATGTGGAAAATATAAAGCCATCATTACTCTTAGACGTATATAATCATGATCAAATAAAATTCACTGCATTTTCTACACTCACAAAAGTGTTTCTAAAGTTTAAATTTGTACGGTTTTAACTGAGCTTTTAAATTCCAAATAGAAAGATTTGACTGAAACAACAGAAAGGTGGATTACGAAGAAACTAAGAGAACCATTGGGAAAGAATTTAGTCGGCAACAACACTCATAATTAACTAAGATTTCATTATTTATATGGTTTGCCGAAGGTGCAAAGCATAGATGTTCCCGTCAGGCCAATACTGTTTATGGTAAATTTACTGTTTCACCATCTGGTGTAATGGTTAGAGAAACAATAAGAACAAATGTGTGCTAATTTAGGCTGTCGACAGTTTTCAAGACACTTGTTGATTTGACCAAATGCTAGAAAACGCGAATATTAAGAATAAATTCAGCGTCATTTGATTTTTCATCGCTATTTACAAAGATCTTAGTGGAAGAAGCCATGAAGATTATACATCGACATTCAGATCTTCTTCCTTTACCAGAGAATGATTTTAAGCAGCTTTTTCTGATTTGTACTAAAGACATCTAATTCTAGTTCAACAATTCCTTATATTGTCAAATAGACGCAGTCGCTATGGACAGCTTGCTGGGTTCGACCCTGGTCGACAGATTTATAAGTAACCTAGAGCAGACAAAGACGAAGCATGCAATCAATCAGACAAAATTTTATGCCAGGTATGTTGCCTATACGTTTGGCACTAACAATGGTCCCAGCAACACATCCCACGTACCAGATCTTATGAATCGTTTTCATTCTGATACAAAATTTAATATAGGGTTTGAGCATAATAAGCTTTATTTCCTTGACCTTGGGATTCAGCATGAGACGGACGGAAAAATTCCAAGTTACATTCATCGAAACGAAACTTGGAGTAGACATCATTTGAACTTTAAAAGCCTTTGTCACAAAAGTTACAAAAGGGGGTTGATTAGAACCCTATTCCACCGCAAGGGCAAACTATGCTTGGAGGAAACACTTAGGGGTTATCCACTGTTGAGAAATACCTGTGTGATAGTGGTTAGACGCATACATACAGTGATAAATACCAGTAAAATGGGGAGTAGAGGTATGTCTTTTTACAACCCACCTTCAAAAATGATGAAATCGCTGTTAGAATCAAGTGTACATTGAATGTTAAACTGAACAGAATATATCCGGCTGCCAAGCTGACTTGTCTATGCTAAAAGAATTGTTCGTTGTGGCAATCAACAGTAGACTTCATGTTACCTTCAACCACACCTAACAAACCAATTTATTTGTCCACATGAACTAAGCAACGAAATTTCATGTCACCTGGTTGATATGGATAGTACTAGGTTGTCCTACGTAATCAACAGGTTAGATTACTGAAGCTTAGTACGTCTTACTGAATTAAAAATCATCTGAAGGTTTAAACCAAATCTATTTAATCAAAAACATACGGCTGTCGAACTTGCGTTGCTTAAGTAATTGCAGTTTAAAACAGCAAAACATATACAATGTTTTGTCACATTATTCTATCTTTCGTATCTTTTGTTCTGCTTCAAAATTTGATTTTTAGCTAAACTTTTCTCATCTTGCTCCTAGAAGTTTTAAATTCAGAACACTTGCAGTTACGCAATTTATGGTATCGACTTTTATTTCTAGCTAACCTTTGTTTCAAACCACTTTTGAACGCCCTCTTCCAAGAATATTCACCTACGAATCCAGTAATTTGTCGATCTTCCTTTCAGATTCTTAATGAACTCGTCTACTTTAACTGTCTGTATTATTCATTATCTGTTACTGGATGATCCTGTCAGTAACATCTTGTCAACCTGATAAAGGCTTGTTGCATTTTCGCAACGTATACATTTTGATAATACTCAGGTTGAAAGTACAGAAGACGCCGTGAAATAATAAAAATGAACTTGTAGTACCCTGCTACATATTCTGTTTTTTGGCTTTCAAGTATATAAATGGGAAGACCTGTATGAAGTTTCTAAACAGAAAAAACGAAACCAGAAGTATTTTGACGACGGTCATAGCTACTATTGTTTGATCAACTAGGCTGTTTATCAAGACATACTGCAATACTCTATGGGAATCCTAAACTGAACAGATGTGAGTAACTGTAGCACCGAAGACCACTACCTTCAGCGTAAGAATTTGTACCAAAAAACTTTGATGTTGGAGATAAACTCATTTGAATACTCAAGAGACGTTATAATGTCTGCAAAAACTCGAAAATTTATTACTCCTGAACCAATGGTAGAAATGAAAAGTTATAGGGTTAAACCACTTGACTAAAACCAAAAACGTGTTATCGGGTGTCATATGCATGAGATTTGAAATGTACGAGGAGGGCAGGGAGCAAATATGCTACGGTGGATAATAGTTACTGGAAAAAACTGAAGTAGAGTTCCTGGCAAGTCAAAAAACATGGTGTCAAATTAAGCATAGACTGGAAAAATAATAGTGTGACCTGTAAATTTGCCATTTTATGAAAATCACAGTAGTGTTGAGATATAGTGATCACCACATTAATTGAATTTATCTTTGCACCAAACACTATAATAAACCAGTGGGTACATACGTTTAAAAGAAATTGCTACAACGAGAAACAGTTCGAATGCTAGACATCGATATAACATTTTATGCGTCGTGATATGGCGATGGGTAAAACACATAGCAAGTAGTGTATCGTAAACTCTAACACCTATTATACACATGTACTCACTCGCATACTGTCAGAACACTACAAAATAGATTCGGTTACTTCTTACCATAAACATGACCGAATCAGCTATCAGCCATATTACACCGAATGTTAGACACTCGTTCGAACGACGGGACTTCTGAAACCGACAGGATCTCCTTACCCCTAGATTTCTGGAAGTCAATAAAACACTTCAACAAAGTAGGTGTTTTAGCACTAAAGAAAAAAAATACAGACAAAAGATGGTGCATGTATATATACCAATAGTCAGTTTATCCTCATCGATTTGACTTGGGACTGAAATGCAATGAATTATTCAGAATGTGAATAACGACAAGCATATAGGCTGACTGGTGCTGAGGATTAAATATAATACTGTTTACTAACCAGTTGCATTAATGTAATTGGCACTGCTTTGTTCAAAGCACATTAAAACAGTTTACACGGAAAGTGTATTAATAAGATAAAATAACTATTAATACCTGTAAATATTTTAACTGATTCAGGACGATTCAGTACAGACAGTTTTTCCAAAGCGAGAAAATATACATAGTTAGCAGAATTGATGGATGGTGCAACGCCGAAAACGCAGTGAGCAGCTGGTTTGCCACGTCGCAGATAAGAACCGTCTTCAATATCGTCAATACTGAAAACAAAATCCAGATAACAATAAATACAAAATGTTACTCGACCATGTGCATGCCTATGTACCACGCGATTAGCCACACTAGTTGTGTGGCAGCCCATGATATTAACCAGGCCAAGGTAGGTGGAGCAAAGTTCGAAACCAAAACCCATTGAATGAAAGTCAAGTTCCTAAGGCAACGAGCCGTAACTCCACCAGAAAAAATAAGTGGATGAAAATGATATCTCGAAAAACATGAGACTACATGCAACTAGTCAAACATGTGTGAAGGCTACTGATGTTATGTAGCTGCTTAATCTTAGGAAGAGCAGTGATAGGTAAGGTTAATTCAAGCATCCTTTATCGTGAACTAAAACCAGTATTTTGTTCTAGAACACCTCAAATCGTTTTTCAGGGATGTATCAAGGTTTGAATAGTAAAATTAGGTCTTGAACTGATCAAGGTGGTTTGCTGAATACTACACTAGATCCAAACGGTCGATGACTTCAAACTAAATCAACTTAAGACATTTAAGTGAACGACACCGTTTTGAACCAGATCCCCTCAAGTCTTACTCCAGTATAAATAGTTTCACTAGTATAATACATTAAACCAATCCTGATGAGTTCTTTAGTTTATGACTGAGATATTGAAGTATGTAGTAAGTAACCATCAACATAATGATAATAACAATAATAGGGTCATTTATCCTAACGATGATAGGAATAATGAAAACAGCATGGTACAGCAAACATTTAAACAATCAACGTAGGTCCAAACTGACGAAATAAAAGTTGTCTATCACTAAAGATATGGGTCGAAACAAATATGAAATGTGAACCGAATGATGAAAAAGAAGGGAGATTAAAAAGTGAGTCTTTAAAATCGCTTAGCCTCACCTGGTTAACTAGCCGGTCCTAAGCCCGAATAAGGAGGGAAGGTCGGGCATACGGCTAGCAACCCTACACCGTAAAACCAATCCAATCACTAAAGAAACTTTTAAGCACAAAGGAATTATAAAAAATAAAAACAAAATTATTCCTCACTGGAATCGGAGAGGCGAAAGGACGCCGATTGCTGAAAGCCTTCGGGAAGCCGGTTGGCCGATGTGTCTTCTCTTCTCTCGATGAAAGCGAAAGTAAACATGGGGACATGGAATGTCCGCACAATGTTTGAACCTAGCAAGGCAGCCCAGATTGGAAAGGAGATGAGAAGGTATAGATAGCATTGAAGTGCTAGGAATTTGCAAAAGCAGGTGGAATGGAAGTGGACTCCCCAAACTGTCAACTGGAGAGTCAATAATCTACTCCGATATTGTCACCCAGACGACAACCACGTGCAAACTGAGTTTCGGAGTGGCTATCATTATGTCCCCAACAGCATCGAAGGCTCTCCCTCATACAGTGGAAACCAATCTCCTGCAGGATCATAACAGCAAGATTCAACTGACAAGGAAGGAAAGTCACAATCATACAATACTACTCTACGCACCTACGAATAATGCAGATGAAGAGAAGAATGAGGAATTCTACAGACAACTGCAATCAACACTGGACAAGACGTCAGTTGGCGACATCAAAATTCTTATGAGTGGGGTGACATGAATGCCAAACTGGGAGCGGACAACACAGGAAGAGAACTAACCATGGGTGAAGAAGCGCTCGATGAGGTGATGAAAGAGAATGGAGAATTGTTTGCAGAATTCTGTGCATTCAACGATTTGGTGATTCGAGGCAGTGTGTACAAGCACAAGGATATCCACAAAGTGAGCGACATGGATTCCACCAGACACCAGGATATACTAAAAATCAGATGGACTTTATCTCAATCTCAAGAAAATGGAGACGCAGTCTACTTGACACTAGGTCAAGAAGGAGAGCAGATGTAGGTTCACACCACTCACTGTCTAGTGCAAGAAACCTTCCAAATCAAGTTGAAAGCCTTCAAGGAAGCTGGTGATAGACCTCAATTCAAGTATAACACTCGGGAACTGAAGGATGAGACTACAAAAGAAATCTTCACGGCAGCCATCAAGACAAAATGGGAGATATCGAGGAACATCCCTCAAGAAACCTGTGTAGAAGAACACTGGAAGTCTTTGAAATAGATGTGGAAAGAAACCTGCACAGCCGTATTAGGAAGGAAGAAGAAAGAAGACAAAGAATGGATCTCAATGGACACATGTAAGCTGATACAGGAGAGGAGGATGGTAAAGCAGAAGATAAACCAGTGCAGTGCAAGGATGCACAACGCGAAGAAGAACTGAGTACAACGTATAAAATACTACACTGGACAAAGAAGTGAAGAAGAGTGCACGCAAAGACAAAAGACACTTCTACGACACATTGGCAAGTGAAGCAGAACAGGCTGCAGGTAGGAGACACAGAAACCTGACAACACTATATCAAATAAATAGGTTACTATCTAGGAAGAGATCAACATAGATGAAACCAATAAAAGATGATGGAAATTTAATTACGAAAGAAGAGAAACAAAGGAAACGACGGGTCGACCACTTCAAGAAGCTCTTGAATCGACCACCACCACCACCACCACCACCACCTGCACTTCGTCCAGAAATACCACCTGCGGCCGCTGAACTACAAGTGAACATAAATCCTCCAACAAAAATAGAAGTCCTGAGAGTTATAAAGCTACTGAAATGAGGCAAAGCAGCAGGACCAGATAGGATCCCGCCAGAAGCACTGAGAACAGACGCAGAGACAACAGCGGACATGCTCACACCACTATTGCAGAATGTGTAGAAGGTAGAGGAGGTATCTGGCCACTGATTGGAAGAAGGGTTACCTTGTCAAACTACCGAAGAAGGGAGACCTCAGTGTTTGCAAGAACTGGCGAGGAATCACTCTCCTGTCCACCCTAAGCAAAATATTAAGCCGCATCATCTTGGAGAGACTAAAAAATGCTCTGGATTCAAAACTAAGACCGGAACAAGCAAGCTTCAGGAAGTACAAATCATGTGCGGACCAAATTCCAACGCTTCGCATCATCATAGAACAGAGTATAGAATGGCAGTCAACTCTCTACCTCGACTTTATCGACTTTGAGAAGGCCTTTGACAGCGTCGACCGAGAGGTAATTTGGAAACTGCTTCAATACTGCGGAATACCGCAAACCTTTATCAGCCTCATTCAACAACTATATGAAGACGCCACATACCAGCCAAGTAATTCACAATGGGAAGCTCAGTGATGCCTTTGGAGTGGAAGTGAAGACCGAAGTGAAACAAGGTTGCCTACTATCACCCATGATATTCCTGATTGTGGTCGACTGGATCATGCAGCTAACAACTGTGGGGAGCGAGAAGAGGGGGATAGGCTGCCTGGATCAGGGAAAAGAACTTAGAAGATCTGGATTTCGCCGATGACTTGTGCCTAATGTCACACAAACTTGAAGATCTACAGGCGAAAACTAACAAGTTGGCAGAAGAGGCGAGGCAGCGAAGAAGGGACTTCAGGTGGAATATAGAGAAGACAGAAGTGATGAAGATACCGCACCAACAACTCCAACTCCAACAACAAACTCCAATCACCATCAACGGGAGAAACTTAAAGGAAGTAACCTCCTTCACCTATCTAGGAAGCACTGTTTCAACTACAGGCGGCGGCACAGACGAGGATGTCAAAGTCAGAATCGGAAAAGCAAGACAGGCGTTCATTAGTCTGAAACCAGTGTGGAGATCTTCTACACTCAGCATAAAGCGTGAACAAGATCTGGATTTTCAACACCAACGTCAAGTCAGTGCTTCTGTATGGTTCAGAGATTTGGTGCGTTACGAAAGGGATTTCCAACAAACTACAGATATTCATCAACAACTGCTTACGCTCGTTACTGAAGCTCAGATGGCCAGAAACAATGAGCAACAAGGAACTCTGGCTGGTGACGAACCAACCAAGAACCTATCATCCAACAAATTCAGAAGGAAGTGGAGATGGATTGGGCATATACTGAGAAGGCCGACTAGGGACACCACGCTACAGGCCAGTCACTCGAGTGGAACCCAGATGGGAAGCAACGAGTGGGGCGTTTGAGGTGAGGGTGACATGGAGGAGATCGTGCGAGGAAGAAATGAGAGCTTCTGAGCTGTCATGGAACCAGGTTCAAAAGAACAGAGTTCACTGGAGACGTGCTACTGAAGCCCTATGTTCTATTAGGAATCCAAGGGATAAATAATAATAATTAAAATCGCTTATTAACCATTTTCTGGTCAAGACAGAGATAAGCGTTGCACATACTTCCTGTGTACGAAGATTAAGATTGCCTCCTCTAATTCTGATAGCCTCCAGCTGTACGTAATGTGAGAATACAAACTTTATCCAAAGTTTTTGTGAAATGAGATAGATGATCAAGAAGGCTTAGAATTACATATTACATAACTACTATCGATAAAATGAGACGAAATTAAACTTTGCATGGACTTCCCTTGTATTTCGCCAAGTCACAAGACTTGGTACTCAACAGCACATTTGTTAGTCTGCCTAGTGTTTCCCCCGTTATAGGTTTCTCAACAATAGCAGCTATACTGATTAACGCATACAGAAGTGGCTAAACTGAGTAACAATAATCGGTCAACTAGAGAATGACAAACAAAAGTTAGCAGCATAGAAAGTTCTTCCGATTACTTAAAATAGCGCCTGAGATAAAACATAAATGGGCCCTCATTAAGTTGGGTTTTCATGAATAATGATTTCTTTTGAACAGTCATTTGTTTAGACCGCTTACTCATTTTGTTTATGCATTTCTTTATAACACTATAGGGATAACCCATTTCCACCAGTATATTATGAATTCATTCCAACTCGTTTCGCACCAAGTCATTAGAGCAGATCTTTCTGACTTTACTTGCATGCCAATAAACTGAGTTTCTCTAAATCGAATGGTTAAAAAGCCGAGGAAGTGTATGTACCGACATTTAGATGTAACCATTCTATTCATCATTATCCTTAGTGATCTATCATCTATTCAGTAGGACATCTAGAAAATGTAATGTTTTCTTCTTTTCCTTCACAAATGAAAGTCAGAGAAGGGTGTACGCTAGTAAATTCTATCAAAAACTCGTTTCTATCGACATTTTGATCACAGATGATGAATATGTTGTCAACATATTTGTATTAACATATTTGTATTAACTACATATTTGTATTAACTATGTCATATTTCAGTGGTACATTTTTTAACTTAGCACGAAAAAAGCAATTAATATTGGGCTTAAAAGTGAATCCGTAGCGATTACATCAGTTTGCCTATAATGCTCATTATTGAAGAGGAAATGTAAATTCATGGTACATCACAGAAGCAGTGTTCTGAGAATATATTCTGGAAGTCGAACACTGATCTGCGTTCCCGATATCTGCTGACAAATGAATTCCACTATTTCAATAAATGGTATATTGGTGAATTAATATGAAACATCAAGAGATACCCTGTGTTCCCCGTTTACGATGATCTTTTTTGACGAAAACAGGCATCATTATCTTGATAATTACTAACTGCATGCTTCAATATCTCACTGCTATAGACGAAAGAACTTATCAGGATTGATGTAATGTATTACATAGGTAAATATATGCATAGTGAAGTAATGCTTGAGATCTCGTTCAAAACAATGTTGTACGCTTAAATGTCTTGTCCCAATTTTTAACATTCTTAAATCAACCTGTAGTAAAGTATGACTTGTTTTTTTCTATTTCTCAATATGTTGCTTCTTGCATTAAACAGCTTAATGAAATTCAAGATCATTAGAGTGCAAAAACCATAAAGAACCTAAGTAGGGATAACTGAGATATGCATTTGACGGTAATGGAATATGTACTGGCTCACTTAACCTTTTATTCTCATTCTTACGTTCCTCATTATCATAATATTAAAAATAAACTTAATGTATTCCAAAAAGAAAAGGGACTAAATATTTTCACACTAAAACTAGCCACAAATAGCTATTCATAGTCTACTAACATTCAATGACACCCATGTACACAATTTAATTTTGTTTAAAAGTGTCACAAGAGTCTGCTGTCAGCCTAGTTACCTGAAAGACCATTCAAATCCGCTCACATGAAAATATGAAATCAGCAATTGGGATTTCAGTAATTTAGTGGGAGTGCACTTCAATTCAGTGTCGAATGCACCCTTGGCAAGACGAAACTTCTCTTAGTTTTTCCAAAATTTTATCACTATGACATACTAAAAGTGAAGGTAAAAGCAAGGTCAGCCATTTTTAATCCACATTATTCATTAGTAAATGACTGCTTAGAAAGTGTAAAATTATTTCTTCAATGATCTTACAGTTAAACTGTTCATTTGTTAGACTAAAATTTAGATTCACTTCCGCAGAAGATTCGTAAGGAATCGCCTAACTACTCTTGTGTTATTGATGACTCAGTTATAAAACCCATTCATTAAGTTACTGATCTCAATTTACTTTGAAATGTTCTTTTACTTTGTTGCTGTTTATCGATGTTAATATGGTATTTGAATTTATAGCCATGTGGGGCGATGTAGACTTGCCGGTTGGGGTCTGCGGAACAAGAGGAACCAGTGGTTGAAGACTACGTGATATGGCTCAGAACCGATGTCTGGAACAGGTGTATGCACACATTATCCTCATCTTAACGTTATGCCGAATCTCACCATTTTCTCATTCTTCCTTTTTCTCTTTTCGTACTTCATATTTCTTCCGACTGGATTTCCTTTTCCTCATCTTGCACTTCACTACCTTTTTACTTGATGTACTGATATCAGTTGTGGCAACTCAGACCGTTAATCTTGCTCGGCTAAAAATGACTACGCCATACTGTGTAGAGCTCTCAGCTTTTAGTAAGGTAATTAGTGTGCCTCTGACCCAACTGACTAACACCATAGTTCCCAGAAATCGGAATTCATGCAGGCAACTAGCTACAGTCATTTTATGGTATTGAGCATCCTTTTTATACCAAGCTCTCTCCTTATATTTCCTCAGGAAGAACAATCAGCAACTACACCAGGCTTTAAGCTCGTATGGATTAATACGGAAATCCAACTGCATCTTATCTAGCAGGCATTTTCTGTGAAGAAAAAAAGAGTTAGGTCAGAACCAACTTATCAACTTTGTAACAGTGAATCGCCCTTCCTAATATTCCAACAATTTACGTATTACGGTAATCATTACCGATACTATTTATGCAATTTGAATCGCTACAACTAACACTATCGGAAATCAGCTTAACTATCTGAGATAGCAGTGGTTTGGCAGATTAGCATCGATACTCGGTGATGATTGAAGGTGAAATGAAAATTTGGACCGCAGTTGGATCCGAACTAGTGACCACCGGGTTACCGGTCTGGTGCTCTACCAACTGAGCTACGAGGTCCGACTGCTGACCAGATTTTTATTTCACTCCAGTCGCTATTGGAAATGTTGCAAAAAAAGCTTCTGTTACAAAATCACATGCCAAGAATTCCAAATTGCATTCATTACTAATGTTTAAATAAAATATTAGTATCACTTCATACAGTCCAGGTTCACGAGTTAAGATGTGAGCTACGCTTGTTGTGTGACGACTTATGATTTGCCCGATGCGCAGCCCGAAGTAAGTGGTAGGGAATTTGAGCAGAGGACTTATTGTTCGAAAGTTGTGCATACGCAAGTGACTCGGATCCCCATATGATTGTTGGTTATTTCGGTGAAAAACAAAATCATATCTTGATCATCTTTAAGTATATTTCACTTCAACAAACTAGTCGAAACATTTTTACGTCAACTGGCTTGTTTACTGGATTGATGCAGTAGGTCTAATAGCCTTCTTTCCACTTAAGTAACCTGGAAAATGTAAGCCACCATCATTTGCGACTTTCGCACATACTACTATGGAGTCATAAACGCATGTGATTCAATAGCACAGACACTAACCTGTTCGAATTCAGAACTATTTCAGTCAAAAATAGGGTTTAATCTTCCATTTTTACTGGCTATAGGATTCGGAATGGATTGAAAACTAAAATGTGCTTCAAAGTATAGTCGACTGGGATTCTTATTCAAAAGTTACCTTTAAAGCTAGGCTGTTACGTTCATGCAGCTGTTAATTCCCGTGTAGTTTACTCGATTAACAAATAAACCGATAAACCATTCAGTTCTAGTAGCCTTTCTGGTGAGTGAAAAGAGAAATCTAAGAGAAAAGGTAAACAAGCTCATGGCCTACAAATAATTCAACCCTCTCGCTAAGGATCAGTTACCTAAAGATGCTGATTCGAAATACGTAAGATATTAGATGCTCAGATAGTAAGAAGTTGTACAAATGACAAAGCAATCCCAAAGAACATTTGGAAATGACAAAACGCTTTTTTGTAATGAATACAGAAATTAGTAGTGTGCGTGCGTATTATGTGCACCAGAAACATGTACATACATTCAAGGTATAAAATGAGCTACCTACAATTGCTTGCTGAAGTTGAAGAATCATCCTCTTAAAAATCCTGCAAAAGCACTGTCTATCCAAGAGTTATTTTACGTATCAACACCTAAAATTCCTACTATCTATCTGCATACCACTCTAAAATGCTTATTACTCACCAAAAAATAGCAGAAGATAACGAGTTTTTTTGGCTACCTTGAGTTTAATAATTATGCATAACTAACTGCATTTATAAAAACAATCCAAAAAGGCACAATAAACAGATGTGTACATGGAACGTGTACCTTTAAGAAAGATCTATTGGCCAGGTATGAGATCTTACCTACTTAAGCAACAAGTAAATCACCACAGACGCCTGTGACTACAAGTAAAATCATGGCGATAGAAGTATGTTCCTGAAAATTATATATACCGAATAGAAACTTGTTATGTGGAGGACTCGTACACATAGTTAGAAAGTGAAATTACATAAAAGTTGTATGAAATTCATTGGAAAAAATTATCAGTGTAGCTTTAGTGATTCAAAAGAAAACCGAATGGTTTGCAATCTACCATTTTAGTTCAAAAATGCTACAAGACTAAAAACTACTCTGCATACGGTTTTATAGCCATACAATAAGTTTACATAAACTTACATCAAACTGGCATTGTGCAGCATTTGTATGACTTCTGATATAAGTTTCAAAGTACTTTCAGGAACCTTCAACCAGTAATTGAAAGCTGACATCAATTTACAGCGCAAACCCTTGCCATTTGTATCAGACGTATAATTGTAGGGCTCCATAACAACCTAGACCATTAAAAAAAAAAGTTTTATTTCTACTTTTTCAGCTGCTCTCAAAAACATGGTACAATCTCCATCTTCTCCAGCCATGTCGTATGTTGAAAAGTGACCTTGAAGTTTTCGAACTGAATATCCAAATGATTCAAATTGTTGTTGACAGAATATAAGCATTCGCTTAACTGGCTTCCACGTCTAAAATCCGTGAATCATTACTTCTTGTGGTTGTTAACCTGTATGCAAGTAAAGAAAAAGGAAAACATGTAGGTTAAAGTATGAAATTTCAATTAGTTCCGGGCAGATCTTAGCCAACATCGGTAGTGGGAATAGAAGAAACTTGCGGTTTTTAAATCTCACAAGTGTCTTGCTGCCGGGTTCTTTCGATTTTTCCAAGCTTATTCGGTGCGATGCAACCCTATATCTAGCATTCAGTAACAAGGATGGTAGGTCAGTCATCTCCAGCTACTCCATTGAGTTAAAATCTATTTTCCCCTTGAAAGCTTTCACTAAAGAGCTGGGATTTTTCACCGGCTAATGGAGTTTCAGTTGTTGACTGCTCGATAATAGAAGCGCACATTTACTGTAGTTTGATGTTATCGCGATTTTGGGATTTTCGAGTGATATCCTCAGGGATACAAAAGCCTCGGAGTTGAGAAAAGACACGAGATAGGAAGTCGCTACCAACAGTACCAACACGAATGCAGTAAAACAGTTTGAATCAAACTGTTCGATCTTATATTTCCTCTTGGAGTGCGTTGGAAAGGTCGTTCACAACCTTCATGCTCTCCGAATACGCTCGCGTACACCAGTATCACGTCTTAGCCAAGAACTGGCTGCGCTGCAGCGCATGAGAATTTCATATCATGGTTCACCATCCAACATCCTTTAACGAGCAAGCTGTTTTTTTGGAGCCACCTTCTAGGTCTTGTGTAACGGATCCAGGTCTCTAATGGGTTCTGACGCAGTAGGTCTGCCTATTAGCCAGCAGTGGCTCTGGTTAACCCAACGGGTGGTAGGTTGTTAATTAAATGTGCAGGCATTGCCTGATTTGTCAAGGACTGGGGTGTAGATGGCTTCCTTAAGTGTCGTATCACCGTAGTTTTACGAACTGGTTTTCAACGAGAAGGTAGAAAGAACTAAATGGTGCCCAGAGTAAACGCTTGTGAGGAAGCGAGAAAAATCAAGTTGGAAGAAAGCAGAATGAAAGGAAGGGTGACGGGGAAGGAAACCTTGATAAATAGGGTGAGATCGTAAGGTAAAAGGAGGAGAACAAGCCAGCAGGATGACAGTAAGAATATTGGAAATAAAAATACTAGTGTCGCTGGTGGGGGTATGGCAACTATCCAGCTATCCAGCAGGGGAGCTTGAGGTTGAGTCAAGTTCGCTGTGATGGTGGCAGTACAAAGGACTCGGACTGGAGTTGGCTGAGCTGGAATGATGCAAAACTGGCTCTTGAAGATGTCGGCAGATGGAGCAATAGCAATCCCGGCAGACAATGACTTACAGTGGCCGAAAACTCGAGGAGAGTAGGTGTGAACGCACACTGGTTTCTGTCATTACATGAACAATTCTCTCTGCGTTGCCGCCAGCATTGCCACAGTAACAGTTTGGTAGAATTTCACCCTCCCGGCGATTCAGATTGCCTAGTGTTTTGTAGCCCGTTGTTGAGTCGCCGCCTAACTCACGGCAACTAGAGTAGTAAGGCCCGAGACCCTGCAGCTCATCGTAACTGGTTTTTCCTCTGGATTCCCGCAACGCCCTTCGCTGTTCACCTCCCGGCTTTCTCCTGTTAGTCCTCATCACTTTATGGTTATGGTGGTGTAACGATGTTGTGGACTGCTAAGTGAGGCCGTACAAAGGTCTTGCAAAGCTTCAGGCATCTACTTATTCCATCTCTACATACTAAAGTAGTGGCATACCACCAATGGCATATTGGAAACAATTACTTGAACCAATGTGCAGTATTACGCCCCAGCTAGGGTTAATTTCGAGGCATTAACTTTTTCAGCAGTTCATCTAAATCCGGCTGAAGTGAATGCCTGTTAGCATCATTACTCGTGACTTTCAGGGTTTCTCAGTTATTGGTTAAAAGAGAACCCGAGGAACTGAGAGTTTGCCATGCATCCAAGATACATAACAAGGAAACGAGGAGACCTGTGATTGTCCTTAAACACTGTCCCATTAACCCTCATTCTCTGCCTTCCTTCGCACTGAGGGGCATTGGTACAGACTTGTAATGTACCACCATACCTGGAAAAGGAGGGGTCACGTGGTAGCTTGACAGGGGAGACACTTTGTCGAACGTTCTTCTGAAGTCTATGAATACGACCTCCATAAACAATTTGCAGCAGCACACTACAACTTACTCCTTTCTTAGTATGAAGAGGTCTGTGAGGCAGAAGTGTCTACTTCAAAATATATTTGCGTGGTGAAAAATAACGTTTAAGTCGGTGTGGTCAAGCAAAGCACCGTCAATTATTTCGAAAATCTAACTGACTGAGACAGACTCACATGGAGGTAGCCAGACAATGCCCTGAGATTACCAGCCTCCAAATGCGTGCCGCTTATGGCATCTTTCCAGCCTTTGGACAAGTTAGCACGGGACTGGGACATACTAACGCAATCAGTTGGTGGCTGGATGCCAATTTCTGCTGACAAAGATGGCAATCTGAAGTGCAGGCCACCATGATCCGGAGATTTTCCAAGTTTGAGGTCACTAAAATGGCGAAATACAGGCCCCTGTTTGCCCGATATACGCTTTATCTGGTCAAAGCTGATGCTGCACTTCTATGTTTCACTGAAGTATTCGAATAAGGACTCAGGTTTGAACCGACGAAATTTCATCGAGCTGTCTGACACTTTTGCCCCTCATGTGAGATGATGCCTTCTGCGTCATCTTCCAAATCCGCATTGGTCAGACGGTAACAATCACCATATGCATGTCTCTTGGTCAGAAGAGTATCAGCGACTTCCTGAATCAGGGCCAACAGACTAGCAGCAAAAGTTGCAAAACTGGCTAGGGGATGGCACACTGTCACTTTAGCACATGACCGATGTCACTCCAATACATGCCGCGTGTAACCAGCATCCAAATGCACGACACTGCAAACCACCATCACTCGTAAATTGGCAGCCGCATCTACTGCAGATACAATAATAATTAATATTTTGTTCTCGTATTAGTAATTCAACATGACAGAAGCCAGTTTACTGGCATCATCACACTGGTATGTGCTAAAAAATCTACTAGATTTTACGGCACCTGGGTGGTACAGAAGTGAGGTCATTAAATAAGATTAAAAACACCAGAAGATTCCGAAACTTATGAAATTAACAAGAAACTACCAATTTTCAGCATACGTGGTGTTAAAGTTTAAATCGTTTTCAGGCGTACTATCTTTTTCACCAATAGTGGCGCCAAGGTTGCGCAAAATTCCGAATTTCCGTCGACATGTTTGACTCGTCTACGTAATGGCTGGTTACGCCAGACAAGCATCTATTTTACCACAAATTGTTGTGCTTATAGCTTTGGAGACCAAGAGAACCCTAGCTGATGATTCTGGGAATCTGTAAGTTCCCACATAATCATGTAGTCCAAGTGAATATCTATTCGAGCGTTATCGTTCATAGTAATATAGGCTTACGCCAACAGAATCGGATAATGTGGCGCAGTGGAATGGACGTTTGAAGGGCTACAGGCCAGTGGCAATGCGCTTTCCATACTGTTCACGTTAAGGTATGCAGCATTGTCAAGGAGGTATATTCACTGTTAGATGAAGTGCTAAAGAAGTCTGTTTCATAGCATTGTTGTGAATAGGTGAGTTGATCTCCTGTATTTTACTGTCTGTCCAGATTTTCTTTGCCACTATGACCATCCAGAAATATGAGTAATTCGAGGATTGATCTATATTCATATGGTCAGAGAGCCAAATGAGTGAATGGTATTGGTTATTCTTGCTTACTGAACGGTAATTTTCGTGATAGCACAGTTTCATTGCTTCGCAAAACAGTGGGATGTCCAGAATTAGTAACATATATTCCTCATTTGCGTCCTATTGTCATCTCTGAAGGTTATCTTGGTGACGTGGGTCTTTGAGGTTTTGAGTAAAAGCGTTTGTTCTTTTAGAGTTCAGATTTCCAGATTATTCGGCGAGTTTTCATCATCTTCCAGTTATCTTCACAGTCCAATGATATCTTCATGTTGCAGCTACCCGCGATTTCGATAGAAAAGACAAAAAAAGAAGCTGTAGCCTCTACACCTTTGAGGTTGGAAATTCTTTGTACATTGGGGGGTCCGATTATATCTGCAGTTTTAGTGGCAGCATTAGTGGTACCCTTTGTGGGACTGTCGTGTAGTGTAGAGTTAAGCTGTCTTGCAAACCACCTGGCCAAAGTGTTTGATGAAAGAGCTTGTCTGTGTAAACTGTCCCACAACTGACCATATTTATCATACCAAAAACCCAAATGTGAACAACAAAAATTTTAGACGGTATTTAAACCCGAATGTTTTGAAAACCAGATTTTGCCGAAAATGCTAAGTCAAAGCGCGACTGTATTTTCGACGGATACAACAAAAGCTGTCTGATAAAAAGGTGTTAATAATATTCGCATATAATTCTGTAACGAAATCAAGCCATTTTGAAAGCAAGAGGAATAATATTACTTGGCTAATTAATGCTAAGTGCATATTCATCATCACAAATTCCAGTGGACAAAATATAAGTTGCACGAAATTTCAATGAAATAAGTGAATAGATGAACCGGCGTTTCATTCTCGCATTCGTGAATTAACATGAGAGAAGCCAGTTAACAGGCATCATCATATTGATATATGTCGAAAAATCAACAGGATCTTACGGGTCCTGAGTGGTACAAAGGGAAAGTCGTTGAACTCTGTTGAAAACATCGGAGGATCGTGATTAAGAGACAAAGAATAAAATACCACTTGACAGCATATGCAGAGCGTCAGTGTGAAGATGATAATCGATTCTTATTCTCATATGATGGACTTAACATGAGAGACGCCAGTTTGTAAGCATCGTCAAATGGATAATTCTTGAAAGTTTACAAAGTAGTATTTAGTGTTAAATAATTCACATATCAAGTCATTGGTGTGCACAATCTGACTAAAAGTTGCTGCGATTCACGAGACATGCATAGATCTTCGTTTCCCATCACACAGATAGGTTCCACTATCAAAAACGAAAGCGGGCAATATTCGAAGTTTGCGTTGCAAACAGCCTACGTAGGAAGTGCATTTGCCTAGATTGTTATCTGGAAAGTTCTTCGGTCTTAGGCTTTGCTACTCAAAAAAGATTTATTTATACTATCGGAATTATCAGTAAATATTCACAGTGATATAACCAAGGTAGCTGTCTAAATCAACGCATTTTAGGACACCATGCTGCGTTAAAAGTTAATCAAAACTGATTCCACTGGAAATATTTGTTGTAGCAGTAGACCGTCACTTGTGTGCTACTCGACTATGCTGATAACTTGAAGTATGGCTGTTTACTGGTGTATGCCCTGGGGGGCAGCTGCAACCCTGTGTTTTTGAGCGGTGGATCAAACTTGAATACCGCGGGAGCATGTGTGTGGGGTGCCAAATTTTTCATGAGGTCTAAAAACAGGAAGAATACGTGGGTAGAAAGCACATCTGTCCCTGAATTACGAAGTGGGATTGCTGGGGCGTAAAAGTAGAGTTGGGTCAAGAGTTGTACATGATAGGTAGGATTTTGGAATATTAAGCATGCCATTTGGCATCATATCATAATGTTTGCAACCAATAGGGTGCGCCATGCAGGACATGTTCGTGTTTGCAAAAACAGGATTGTGGTGGGAAACATAGAGTCTGAGCGCACTGTTTCACGATGTAATTTCCTATGCTTTCTTCGGTGCAGAGTATATTGCAGAGCCACCAACAATAAAGCGTTTTCCTTTATCACTGCAAAAGGTACCTCCAAAGTTTTCTCACTCTGAGAGCCTTCCAAATTTATGCGGCAGTTTCGCCCGTGGGTTTGAATTTGATGATTTTTCTGTCATCCACGGGGTAGACGCAGATGTACGCAAATTAGTTGATGTCCTATGTTTAAAATTACCTGATGTTGTCCGGTCGACCGTATGCTTATTCGTATTAAATAGACTTTAAAGGTGCACGTCTACCACGGCCTTCTTACTGTAAAAATATGGCCTAAAAATCTTTCCACTGATAATGACGCCTCATCAAAGCAGAAATATTTACGATGTAATCAGGTGGATATGTATTCAACCTGGTACTCTTTTCTACCTTTGACTGGTACCAGCACACTAATTTTGCCGATAAAGTTCAGAAGCAGATTGGGTTTGACGGATGTGTGTGTGTCCGGGAGAAAATAAGACAGAAGATCAATGAAAGGCCCACTAATACCATAGAGTTATTACCCGCATAAGTCATCAGATTATCGAGCGAAACACTTTACCTGCGACGTGAAAATGTTTTGATTCTGCACCATCTGCAATAACAAGAAAACAGAGTGGGTGGTGTCAGTTTGTAAATTGAAGTGAAACATCGGCAATACCATACGACAAGCGATTACATAGAGCTGATACTTTGCCTCGACACCTAAAAATGCTTTTCAGAGAGAAGTGTCTCAATAAGTTACTACAGTGACAAACAGCAATCATTCAACAGCAACACCTCACGAAGGCATCGTATAAATCATTAAAGTTAATGGACACGCAATGAATCATAAAACCCAGTCATTAGAAATTCAATGTTTTCACGATGGGCCCTCAGTTAAGTTGCATGATGATCAAGCGGCATTTAAATAAAAGTAGCAGTGATCGTAAAGTGTCAGAAACAGAAAAAAAGATTGGATTTCCATTAAAAGTGTACAAACTCTAGCCACAGCTGGTGGTTAAACCGTTGACTGAATAGCGCCTTAACTCACCCTATCCCGCTTGCCGCTCAATTGATTTAAACAAACATACACAAGAGTACTTCAACGACGGCCACCCGCACTTACCTGTCCTGCGTTCCTTTAAGGCCCATTTGCTTAAGTGGTAAAAATAACAGACTGAACGGAATAATCGACCACAATACCGGTCAGCATGTACCCTTTCATCTACCAAACGTTTCCCAGTCTCTCACTAGCTCTGAACTAATATCTGTCACTTGGCCAAGCGTCAGCGCTTCGGGCAAAAGCGTTTAGCGAGTGCACATGCGTATCATCTACTACATAGTTGTCAGAAACAGTCAAAATTGGTACTGGACTTGATGAAACTGGAACAGTGAGGGTTCAAAGGAATAACTGAATACCACTTCACATTCCCAAGCAACACTGGACTGCTGCTACTCGCAAAACTAGTTTGTGGTTGTTGCATAGAACCTCAATTCAGTTAACATATTCCCCAGTTTGATCACCTTGTCCCATATCTTCTGTGGTGAGATTCGCCGTAATAAAAGGCTTCTACTCGGAAATTACTCTCATACATTTCTCGAAGCTTTAAGTTATCATGGAATTCCTCTGATATGGTCAATTCACGGATCCCAAAAATGTTTTCCCAGGCGAACATACACTGCACCTAAATTGTCCTCGAGGTAGTGACAATTTCCTCTTTACAATACACCTCGAGGATTAATTTCTGTTCAAAACTATACCAACATACAGGTAGTCGAACAGCACAACTGAGATTTGACCCTTGTTTATGTACTGACCACGTGAACTATGCACGAACTGTCTGTAGCTCGAGACAAACGTATAAGCACACGCTGGTAATCTGAGTGTTGGACTTCAAAAAACAATCAACGGCATACAACCCTCACTTTTTGTTGAGAGGTTTGTGTCATTGCTACACGGAGCAATAGGGGGTTGCATAGGCTTACATCACAAATGACCCTGATATCAATACAAGTTGCGTTCTCATTAGCCTGTTATCAACACAGATAAAACAATCACCTTTTGTGCAACGCACGGTCAGTTATGGGCAAAGAAATATATACTCACATAATGTCCCTGAAGTGTACATATGCTTAGTTACCGGAATCAAGTGAATAAGTCGAGGCAAAATGCAACTTGTGAGTGGTTCAGACTTTTTGTGAGCCGTAGGGTCGACAAAAATTTTGCCGCCAAAAAGGGTGGCAAGAAAGGCACGGACATAGATAGCACTCTAGGAAGTGAACAAGTTAGTACTTTGAGTAAAAGTGTCGGGAAATTGTGAGACCCGTGAAAACCCGGAAATAGAAGTACTTTTGACAATTTAATGCAAGCAAACGTCAAGGATAAACTAGTGGATAGCAGGAAAGCCCTTGGTTAGTTCATACGTCCGAAGAGTTGCGATAGTGATGGATATGCAGAAACTTCTCGACTAGGCGAATATGTAGGTTGTTTCCCAAAGTCCAGTGGTCTTTGTAAGCTTCGGTTTAAGCATTTAGCTTCTGGCTACATATTTACATCCTTTCAGCCTCCCGAATCACAAACCTTTCGCCAGATAATCGAGGAAATGATCTTTTTCACCCTGACCTACATCCTTTGTGGGCTAGAGAAGATATTTTGGTTGGTAACCGGTTAATAGACGAGGTCAGGTGTGAAACTACCCTGAGCAGGTCGATTGGGCGGTTAATCTGTGCTGTTCACATCGCAGAATAATTTTTATACAAGCTGTGTCGCTTCAGAAATTATGGTATTCCGGCCGCGGCTGTTTGGAGCCGCTGGTCATAAGGAACAGATCTGAGTTACCTGCCAGTTTCACCCACTTCCTTTTTATGCATTGAATTGAGCCACCTCAGCTCACGCAGGTGTTTAAGCAGGCCGTCCTCCTACGCTTTTTCAAAGGATAACGAGTGGCCCCGGGGACTGTCACCCGGTTACCTCACCCTACATAGCTTTTGGAGTATTCGAAGGCTTGATAGTGGACGAGATGACAAGGACAATAACAACAAAGTCAAATGATTAGTCGTATATCTTGTGCTTCTTGACGGAGAACATGTTTATCAGGGTGGCTTACTAAGCCCCTGTTCTCTCATTATCAACTTGATGACCCCCTAGTGTGTCAGCGGAAGGCAACATCACACTTTTATCCTCGATTTGGCGAAAGCCTTTCAAAGGATATCTCACAACATCTTGGTCCAAAGTACGTCGTAGCTGGAGTTAACTAATCTGCTTCTTGTTTCAAAGCATACCGAAGGGGCCCATAGTTATGTGCTGAAGCTAACGATGTCCGGTCCACTTGGAGATCATCAACTTTCCGATAATCCCAAAGAGTAGTCTAAGGGATTTCTCGTTCTTTAACCGTCTTCAAACAGCTTCCGTAGAAAATCACTAGATTCAAGCTAATTCTGGGGACTAAAAAATATGAAGGATTTTAAAAGATGAATACTGGTAGCGCACACACTTAAATGATTTGCAGTGAATAAATGTCAGTACCTTACATAAGTGTCGATGCTAATAAAGACGAATTGTGTGATAGTGTCCGGACGAGCAGTGTCATTGTTAGTCTGGGTAAAAACCTCGCTTTAAGAGGCGAAAGTTGAGCTTCTTTGTGTCCTAATGGCTGGGCCGGGTACTTTGAGGCAGTACAGCTGATCAGCACAAAGAGGCGACGAAAGTAGCGAACGTTGACGGGCAGATCCTTACACGTTAATGAAGCATGTTTGGCTTGAGTCACGCACCAACACTGTAGAATATTATTGAGCTACTATTTATATATTTAGAATTTTTATTCATTCATTTTATTCTAATCTTACCTGTGTTTTCGTGGGCTGAATGAATGTACCACACTACCATAGCGTGTGCTTTGAAAGAATCCATATGTCTTAATCCGATTGTCGGCAGTATTAAGATATTCGCCGCTTAATTCAGAGTTGAAGAAAGTAGGAGACTTAATCCACGACACTGTGAAAAATGGTAAAGTCTGAGCGACGAAATTTATTCGTGTGTAACTGAGCTTTGAATGTGAGTATCGAATATGGCCTGAATGACTCAAACCCCGTGCATTCTTACGGTTTTATTATCACGACACGTCCAAATATCGATAACTAAGATGAAGAACAATACAGAAGCTTTTATAAAGTAAATGAGCTGAATAATAAAGTGGAATCAGTGTTGAACAGTTATGTGTAATGCTCAAGTACACTATTCAAAAATACCGCTTCCGCAAGGATGGACGAACGAACCCATTAGTGTCTTCTGGTAATTGTTCACTCAGATACATTTAGTAAGTTCCAGATACCCGTGTGGGGCCTCCTGCAATTAGACCAGCTATCGAAAAAGCAATAACAAGTGACAACGATGCGCAGGCGACGGTGAACTGTCAAGTGTGCCGACATGTAATCAGCTTTTCCCTTCGCGAGAAACGAATGGTTGTAAGATGTCCTAATTGTTCTGAAGCTACGGTAACTAACTTTTGCTGGCTTATATATGTTTTAGCCCATCAAAGGTCCGCCTGCTGGTAAACAGTATGTTCGCTGTCCTTGCAATTGCCTCCTTGTCTGCAATGAATCTACTAGCAAAGTCGGGTGTCCTCGTCCAGAGTGTCAGAAAGTTATTGTTCTTCGTGAGGTGAGCGTTGTGCCTCTTAAATTTTCAAAGTACTTGGTTTTTGTATATTTGCTACTAACTAAGATTTTCACTTGGATAGTGTAATTAGAGGACGTAGATTATCTGAAAAATGTGTTGTATTTGTGCTATGCACTTCGAACAGTCTCATCATACATTTAATTGTTAAGGTATTATATATGAAGAGTGGAAGTGGGAGAGGACAAATATGACAAAAAGGAATCCAATAAAAAGGAAGACAACGAAAGGAAAAAAGATAAGATTTGAAGACAATTTTGGTAATACGATAGAATAAGCATTACCAAGGTGGCTTAGCAAACTGTTTTTGCACACACAATTAGGGTTAAATTTTTTTTTTTATGGCTAGCGCCTCAATAAACTTGAGTACACGCCCTTGACAGTTTCTATACAAAATTGTAAAGGCTGTTTTAATATCAGTCCTGTTTCAGTTTTCCAGTTTTCAGCTATAAGGATAGAAGGCCAAGAGGCCTGTGTTAATCCTTGCAGAAGGTATCTCTATGGAGATCTAGTTTCTGCTTGAACGCTTTGACAGAAGGTGCTGATACTACTTCCTGAGGTAAGGAGTTCCAGTCGTTGACAACACAATGGGAGAAACGCAGATTTACGCTAAGTTGATTTGACCGAGGTTTTAGAATTTTCTTGTGATGCCCTCGGAGATAGTCAGTCCTAGCATGGGAGAAAAGATAGGACATATCAGTACCGAAGCCATTATTAAGAATGCGAAATGCCAGTATGAAATTACCCTGTCTTGTACGGTAAGACAGTGGGAATAAGTTTAGCTGATCTGGTCATTCCTCATAGGACAGATTCGAAAGGCCTGCCACAAGCCTAGTGCCTACCCTTTGAACATACTCGAGTGCGTCAGCATCCCTTTTTAGGCATGGGCTAGCCACCTGAATGCAGTATTCCAAGTGAGGTCTAAAGTAAGTAGAGTAGAGTATTCTAAACGTGTCCCGATCAAAACATTTGAAAGCTCTGCGGAAGGACCATAATATATGGAAGCCCTTTGCCGCAGCTGTAGTACAGCTTGCCGAGGTTTTCAAATCGACTGATGACACCCGTCTTTTAGTTCAAGGACTGGAAGTAGTGGTGTACCATCAACGGAATACTGGACGCAATTGCTATGACCAATGTGCATTATTGCACTTTTGTTAGAGTTGATTTCCATGCACCAACGTTTGGACCAACCTACTAGTTCATCTTAATCCGCCTGAAGTGCATACCTATCTGCATCACTGCGTATGGCTCTCCAAATCCTTACATCATCGGCAAATAACAGTACCGAAGAGTTAAGCATACCTGGCAATTCATTGATATACAACAAGAAAAGTAGTAAACCTAGGATTGTTCCTTGAGGAACTCCATTCATCACAGGTTTCCACCCGGATAGTGTCCCACTTACCCTTACTCTTTGCTTTCTATCGTATAAAAAGTCCTTAATACAAGCTTGCAATGAAGCATCAAACCCGAAGGAGGAGGGCTTTCCTAGTAATTTCACATCCGACACTTTGTCGAATGCCTTACTGAAGTCTGTAAACACGGCATCTACTGGCAGCTTGCAATCACGGGCTGCAACCCATTCCTCTCTTGCGATAAGGAGGTTAGTTAGACGGGAGTGCCCAGTACGAAAACTGTGTTGCTGTTGTGGCAAAAGATTGGTTGATTCCACATGTTTAAGTACCCTGTCACGGATTATTTTTCTGAAATCTTAACAACTATGCTAGTTAGACTCACAGGGCGATAGTTAGACACTAAATGGCGACTACCGGTCTTAAAGACTGGGCTGATTATGGCACCTTTCCAGTCTCTAGGAAGGCGAGTGTGGGTTAGGGACATATTGAAAAGATCCGTGACTGGCTCAGCAATGATGTCTGCTAGCGAAGATAGAAGTCTGGGATTTAACTCATCGGGACCTGGGGATTTTCCAGGTTTAAGGTTAATGAGCAACTGTAGGACTTTTTCCTTTGTTGTGAACACTATCTATTAGTGGAACAGTGCTGACACCACTATTTAGTACTTCATCGTCATGATTTACAGAGAAGACTTCACTAAAGTAATCCGATAGACATTCAGCTTTGGACAGATTAGATTCCGCCAAACTATCGGACTTCTCATCCGTCGCCAGAGAGGGGATTCCGCCTTTTCTTTTAGTCCTTCTGACGAATGCGAACAGTCTCTTAGGGCAATTTCGGCAATCCCTCACAAGCTGCTTCTCGTAGGATATTCGAGGTCGTGTAATCAAAGTCTTGCAGAGATTACGCACTTTACAGTACTCAGTGTTAAATGTTTCCAGTCTAGTTTCTAGAAACAAGTCCCATAAACGTTTCCTCCGCCTTAACAGTCTCTTAATGTCTTTATTAAACCTAGGAGGGCGATGTGAGGATCGTCGTGGAGTCGAACATGGAATAAATGGCGTCATTACTGCTTCAAATAGAGTTCCAAACCTATTCTATGCATTCTTAATTGATGGGTCCTTGTCGATGGTCCAATCCTTACTGACTGCGCAATCCGCGCCATACATTAGGTCTAGGGGAGGCAGTGTTATAATCAAACTCATTAGTCCGAAAACCAAAAGTTAGTACTACATGGTCGCTGTTAGCTAACGGAGGGAAGTGTCGTAGATCCAGAATGTCTTCACATTGATGGGTTAAAACTAAATATAATAACGATGGCTTGTGTTCAAAATCTTAACGTTTTGCGTTTTGAACTAAAGCAGATTCTAAGACTGTCAAGAGTAAGTCATTTTCGAAGGAACTGTCGGATAATAAGACTGTTAGCTACGTCCAGTTTACTTGTGGAGCATTCAGATCCCCAACTATTGGGCATCTGTTACTTCTACTCCAGTTACGTATATGGGTTAGCACGAAGTCATTTGCAAGGCAGGATGGACTACGGTAAATGACCCCGATAGTACAGAAACCATGCTTTGACTTCAGCTGGCAACTGGCCACTTCACAGATCCCGCATTCATGTGCTTCAGAAGTGACTAATCGTACGTGGACATCATCCCGAATATATAGTAGTATGCCGCCACCTTTGCGACCCACAACCCTATCCGTCCTTACACAGTAGTACCCTGCGAGGAGTGGCGTGAAATCTGGATTCTTGATTAACCAGGTTTCAGTAAGGGCTACTACGTCAGGACCTAGCTCGCAGATTAGAGCCTCTAGGTCTGTCATTTTGCTTCTAATACTGCGAACGTTAGTGTAGATAACTTTCATGTGTTGGACGAGTTCCATGACCCACCTATTTTAAGATCATTTTCACCATTAGCCTGTCGAACCTTAAGTTCGGCAACAGCTTCTCTTCTTCTTATGCGGTCCTCGAGGGGCCAGTCAGGTCGGATGCGGATATCCGAATTTCTTAGTTTGGATGCGTCACTCAAGAGTACATCCACTTCATCTTTGTTGCCTAAAACAACCTTTAAAATTCTCTTCTCATCAGGTTTTTCGTCCGTTTTCTTACCTAGCCTAATCACTTTACGGATGTGTACCCCTTTAGACTTTTCAGGCAGAATATGTCTGATGGCCGACTCGACTAGTTGCAAGTCATTGCCGTGACGTATTGAAGCATCTTTGTCTGATGACTCCTCAACATTCCAGAAGATTTAACTGGGCGTTGGGGTGGAATCCTTGATTCGTGTGTTGACGGCCTTTGAAACCTTCTCAATAGGTTTCATAAGCTTAGTATCTTCCTTGATAACCTTTGGCAGTCTCTTTAGATGCTTTCTTTGAGAAATCCATGTAGATTCGTTGACCACTTTTACAGAGTCAACGCTGTTACCAGAGATGCAGGCTTTCGGTGAATTCTCAGGCATTATGGTTGGTGCACCATTTGCCCTTGGCTTTCTCTTGCGTCGAGTACGCTTTGGAACTGGTGTAATTTCACCAACTGGATCACCAGCATCTATTAGTCCACTGAGAGGTCCTGTGTCAGATATATTAACGATTACACTTGCATCATCTGATATCGCAGTAGAATGACAGCTATCATTTCCACATAGCTGTTTTTTGGCAAGTAAATTTTCAACGGCTTACTGGATGAGGGTTGGCAACGGCTTGCAGCAGAAATCTCGTAGCCAGGGATAAGCTGGTTTGTTGCAACGCTTGTACACTGTTGGTGTCAATCCTGTACAAACTTTGTGGAACCAACATCCACATGCATCACATTGCATACCTTCATCCACTGGAAATTTACAGCTTGGACCGTTGCAAACATGATTATCGCTGACCATGTTATTCACTCGTGTCGTGTATTAACTAAAGTACTCAGTCAAAATTCCGACAAGGGGATTTGAGTTGTGACAACACAAAGACCAACCTTAGCCTCAAAAATTGATTAGAACTTAAACAATGACTTAAGTACTTCAAGTCAAGGTTTATATGAAAGCTCTTGATGTGGATTACACAACAAAAATGTCAAAAGCGTGGAAAAATTCACTTCCTGTTTTCAAAAAGCGCACATCAAAAAAAGATATATTTTGCAATGGATGATCAATCAATCTATCATTATCAACATAGGACCAGGCATTACTGCGTAACGGTCCGAGTTGCCACACCTCATATCAGCACATCAAGTAAAAAGGTAGTGAGGTGAAGGATGAAGATAAGTGAATGCAGTCAAAAGAAATATAAAGTACGAGAAGAAAGGAAAGAGGAGTGACAAAATAGTGAGATTCGGTATAGCGTTGTTAAGATGAGGATAATGTGTGTATACATCTGCGCCACTGACTTCGGTTCTGAGCCATATCACCTAGGGTCTCCAACCACTGGTTCCTCTTGTCCCGTGGACCCCAACCACCTAGTCTGCATCGTCCTACATGGCTTAAACCAACAGTCAGAGACTTCATACATTGGTGCCATGTTTTAGTCTGGCCACCTCGGGCCTTTTTCCAGCCTGAACCCACCTCAGCCAACATTGTGTGACGAGGCAATCGGTGACTAGGCATACGTAGTACGTGTCCCAACCATCTCAGTCGATGA